TGACCCCCTTGTCGTGTCCTTTCCCTAAGTCGCCAGGTTGGCTCCTTTCTGCGCGGGGAGTAATTGTACCGAAGCATAGTGGCGCCAGCTCTGTGCCAGCGTGATGAAGACGTTGACATCCGTGTGTGGCTCGTGCTTGCCGAGTTCCTGCCTGAACCAGCTTGTTGCGGCTAACGTTTCTGGAATAATAACCTGTGTTTTTACGCAACCTTGCTCGTTGCAATATATATATATATATATATATATATATATATATATATATATCAGTGACTGGCCTGCACATTTGCCTGTGTTGCCTTCATCACTAGACAGCACTTCGGAGTGCCTTTAGCTGTTAGGCCAACCTGTTTAATAGCCGACCTGTTTAATAGAGCTTTCTCATCGGTTTTTAGCAAAGAAACTGACCTTCCACCCCCGCCACAGCCTACCGTAGTCAGTACTTCCATGCCGCCAATCCTTTTTGTTGAACCCGGAGTTTTGGCAATCATTGATAAACTTAAATTATCTTCATCATCAGGTATCGACAACATAAATTCGAAATTTCTAAAGAACACTCAACAGATCTGTGCAAAATTTTTGTGTCTACTTTACTCGCAGTCTCTTTCCACGGGTGAGCTTCGTAGTGATTGGAAACACGGAAATATCACCCCAGTATTCAAATCAGGTATTAGAGAGTCACCCCTCAATTACCGACCAATTTCATTAACCAGCATTCCATGCAAAATCATCGAACATGTCATCTACACCCGGATTATAGACTTCCTAGACTCAAATAACTTTTTCAATTCCGCGCAGCATGGCTTTCGCAAAGGTTTGTCATGCGAGACTCAACTGGCTATGTTTTCGCACGACTTGCATATTAACTTGGATTCTAACGTACAGACTGATGCCATATTCCTGGACATTGTGAAAGCATTCGATAATGTACCCCATAAACCCCTTCTGTTGAAACTTTCCCGCTTAAACCTACACCCCGACGTCCTAAAGTGGATCCATGAATTTTTAAGTAACCGCACTCAAGCTGTCTTTGTTAACAATGCTACCTCTATTTCACTTCCGGTAACATCTGGTGTCCCGCAGGGTTCTGGGCCCGATTTTATTCCTGATATTTATTAACGATCTCCCAACACATGTATCCTGTAAAATCCGAATGTTTGCCGACGATTGTGTTATTTACCACACTGTTTGTAACGCTTCTGATCAATTAGCTCTACAGAGTGATCTTAACAATGTAAAACAATGGTGTGATAATTGGCTAATGGAACTTAACCCTCACAAATGCAAAGCCTTATCCTTCACTTGCCGCCGTTCTCCACTTGTTTTTCCATATTCCATCAGTAATGTTCCAGTTGAAACTGTTAATTCTTTTAAATATCTGGGGGTCACACTCTGCAACGATCTTTCATGGGGTTTGCATATCACGAAAGTCATATCATCGGCAAACAAAACATTGGGATTCTTGCGACGTCATCTACGTAATGCACCTAGAAATGTAAAATTATTAGCTTACAAAAGCCTTGTTAGAACTAAACTTGAATATGCTTCCCCAATCTGGAGCCCGCAACAGGCCTATCTTGAAGACGCCCTTGAGTGTATTCAAAACCGTGCCGCTAAGTTTATCAATAATTCTTACTCCCATGACGTCAGCGTATCTTCACTAAAGGCAAAACTTCAACTGCCCCTCCTTTCACTCTGCCGCCGTATCGCCAGTCTTTTGCTTTTCATAAGTTTTTTCACAGCTCGATGCGCATGCCACCTTATTTTGTTCTCCCAGCGCACATCTCTCAATGAACTAATCATTCTCTTCAAGTCGCACGCCCACGTGCACGCACCGTTACCTTTTCAACATCATTTTTTCCTCGCACAGCAGTTGCCTGGAATGGCCTTTCAGGCGACATTCCTGCCATTACTTGTATTTCTACCTTCACAACCAGTATCACGAATCATCTTTCACTTTAGGACAAACGATTGTTTTCTGCTCAATTTTTATGTACCCACCCCTTATGTAATGCCCCGCAAGGGGTCTTTAAGGAAATAAAATGAAATGAACTGAAATACTGTAAAGATATGTATCAATATATTTTACACTCACATAGAAGCGCAGTTTTGTGGGTGAGTCGATTATTCTGTAGTGTACATGTATGTGTTTATTTGTTCAGATGTTAGCAGAACGTGCAAAGGTTAAAATAGAAATGTTAGTCTCTGGCTTGAGTATATCTGATATGCTTGAATGTGGGATCAGAGCTTGGAACTGTGTCTGGCCTTTACGATTAAAACGGACCTCTGTCTAGTGAAAATTATCGTACTGACCGACTCCGGTGAGATCTTTTCTGGCGGGTACAAGTGTATGACCCCCGCTGCAGCATTAATCCCGCTTCCAAGCCAATTTAAAATGCTCATGGCAGAGATTCCTGCCCAAAATGTCAAAGTGCCAAAGCCTTGACAAACAGTGCGGCAAGTTTGCTTGTATGCAGACATTATTCACTGCAAAAGCACCCAGGACTGACATTGCGATAGTAGCACCGCTTGGTTTCTGATTCATGTCAGCGCGAAGCGACGTACGATAAAAAAGGTGGGTAAGTGGCGGAGAAGCCACTTACCTACCAAACCGAACTACAACAGACTTTCAGTAAATAGTAATCTGTTGAGTGGAATCGCTGCTTAAATAGAATGAATGTCTCTGATATGATTGCTTTAGTACCCTGTTCACTTCTAAGTAATCATAACTCCTCTTAAATAGAATTTATGTTCCTGGTCCCTTCGTGCCCTGTTGAGGGCCTACTGTACTTTGCAGAGTAGTAGTGTATGTGCTGTAGCTCCACCCCCATAGCTTTTTCTTTATTGCCTAGAAACGCCTGCATGTATAGTTGGTACGTATTCATTTAAAAAACAGGGTGTGCAAGCATGGACACTAGATGATATCCCGACTTTTTTCTTTTGTTTGCATGTGCACGGCCAGTTTTTCATAATGTTTCAAGATGTGCGCGAAATTCTCAAAATTCGAAGAAATGAGGTACTGTTTGAGATAAATGAAGATGACTTCACAGTTACTTCTCCTGTACTCGTGGGCATCTCAAGATTGCTAAAGACATTCTTTTGAAGAGTAATCTTGGTGCCAAATTATTTACTACATCAGTAAAGTTCACTAATTATATCAAATGCAAACAACCCATTGCAGCTTTGAGATTTCGAAAAAGCGACCTCTAGTAATACTGTCAAAGTAATGAAATTCACTCAAATTCAGTAGCTAAACCAAAACTGAAATGTTGAAGAGCACAACTGTTATATTCTTCTGAGACGTCCAGAATAAATTAGTGTCGTTATATCAACCATCAAACGACTTCGTAGAGTTGGTGTGTGGGCTGCACTTGCAGAAGTTAACAAACACAAAAGAATCACACCTCAGTAAACTTTGCCTCATTTTGTTGCATTTCATTTCATCGTAATAATTACTAGAGGCCCCTTCTTTTATAGCTTAAAGCTACGATGATGCACTTCAATTCTTCCATATAAAATATTTGCCTAAATCCACTAGATGAAATGTTAATTTAACATTCTGAATTACTGTCCCAAATGATGTCTTCAGCCATCTTAGGGTACTTGCTTCAACAGAAGTAACTGTGAAGGAATCTGCTGCAACCTCAACAGACATGGCACAACACCTAGGCTCGCACGTGAAGTAGGGCTTAGTATTAACAGGAACACGTACAAGAGTCAAGGTATGGAAATAAGTTGGCTGCCTTCTATACCGGCAGTAATCCAGATACTGGTGTCGTCAGTCTAGTCACACATGCATGCATTGTCACCTACACTGATACAACAGAACTGAACAAATATGTAGTGCATTTCGCTGATTTTCGGAGATTTCAGACACATCTTGGAACACAAGCTTGCATCATACTTTTTAATAAATGATCAATTGACAGACAGCGTTCGTATTTGTCCTTGCATTTTTTTTGTCACAGTAGGCGCTGCTAATCCTTTTTCTAAGATATGAACATATGCTCAGCAAGCCTGCCTTTTGCCTCTTGCTCATTTGAAAATATGGTGCAAAAGACTCGCGATAATTCAAACTGATAATTCATACTTTTGGTTAATTCAAACAAAATTCCTTTTTTCGGTTGGCTCTCAATGTATTTAAACCTCTCAATGTAATTAAAAGCCTCTTAATTTATACTTCATCATTCGGTTAATTCATACTTATTTCAGGTCCTTACCAGGAAATATCAGCTGCTTTCCCACTACTATTTAAAAATTTGTGTGCTTATATAATTCTTACAGTCTAAAAATGAAAAATAAGCACCTGAGGCCTTCGAAAAAAAAAAAGGCTTTAAAAGTAAACAAATGTTTGAAACGAAGCACACGCAAGATAAACCGTGATGCTTCTCAACTGGTACAGAGAGCTTTGTGCTGAAGGAACATGCCTATAGCAATGAAGCAGTTGGCAATTCATGACTTCTTCAAAAGGAGGTATGATCAGCACTGAATGGCCAATAAACTTGTGGACTTTTACACCTCTGCTTTCTGTTTACTGAGTGCAGTTAGGGCTTAAGTACACTTGGAACATTTTTAAATGTGATAAAATCAATGCCTATTCATAATGTGTGGTGTCACCTCACCCAGATTCATTCATCTATCTGAAATCTTCTGATAATTCAAACTTCTTGATAATTCAAATGAAATTCAGAGGTGCCTTCGAGTTCGACTTAACGAGAATCAATTGTACCTAGTGCAATGAAGGCACATACACAAACTGTTGTTATATATTACAAAAACCATCCCCCGTAAGAAAGGCAGCTGTGCTGCAATATGTGCCGAGTGAGAGACTTCAATGGGCGCACTCTTCATACATGGCAGAGAAGTAAACAGCATTGAAAATTGGATGAAGTGTAGACAACAAGCCCAGAGTCTACATTCCATGCCTGAAATCAGCAAAATCGATCATACATGAGCAGCTTTGACGGCGCCTCTTGGCGAGCTACGAAATGCAGGCAGCTCACCTGTGAGCGGAACATCTTCCCACAGATGCCGCATGAGAGCATGGTGGGAGCGCGGCGTGGCATCTTCTGCGCTGGTTTGGAGCTATGGCTGTCACAGTGCTCCTTGAAGTCAACCAGGGTGCGAAACTGCTGCCGACACAGCTTGCAGCACAGCTCGCCTTGCACCGCATGCAAGCGCACATGGTAGCGCAGGTCGTCCCTGTGCCAAGACCTCTTTCATTCGACTCCTTCTACAAATGAGTTGTTCATTGATGGGTTCTTTGCACCAGAACAACAACATGTTTACAATACCAATGAAACTAACAGACAATTGAGGAAGGCATATGGGACAAACCATCATCTGTTGTTTTCAACTGCATCATTGTAGTGATGATGGCTTCAATTCTAAGAAAGTAAAGTGCATAAAAAAAACACCCTCTTCATTGATGGCATCAGATCAACCCATTACCTTTCAATTATGCTTCCAATGCCATACTATCTAAGCTGCAACGTAGGGCACTCACTCATCCATTTCGTTGGTTATTTATGTGTAAACCCTGCGAGTGTTAGCCAGCTTCAGTCGTAGCCAATGCAGTGAGTATAAAACACTTTTTGCCAGAGGACACCATGTAGCAGGGATCTTTGCAAGATGAGGCAGTTGGCAAATGAACACTCGCATGTTACTCGAGTCTGCCAGAACCACGGAGGAAGAAATATTTAGGCGGTGCAACTCCGCTCCTTCAGGCGACCAGATAACATCACATTGCCGGAAGGCTAAATAATGCTGGCAGCATCTTGCGGGAGAAAAGGAAATTGCCACCGTTGTAGTTTCCGAGTGAACCGGTCGCACAAGTTGCTGGCGTCTCATCGCAGTCACGGTGCGGGAACACAGAGCGCATTCAATCGTTAGACCGAAGCGTTGCCAACTGAAATTTCTTTGTTGGAGCATGTAATTTTTAAAAGTATTTTATGTGACGTTATCTGGACGCCTGCGGACCGCCGTTTCGATAGAGGTTCATCTCCTCCGTGGCCAGGACAAAGCTGTTGCTATGAAAGTACAGAAGAAATGGAATCATCCGAGAGGCCCATTTTCATCCACTCTAAAAGGCCCTCCAATACATTTTGGATGACCACACTGTTTTACATTTTTTTTTACTGAAGGGTGAAAACAGATTAGTGCAGCAAGCATGGCAGCCTTAGGGAGACACAGTCCAAAGTTATTGAGCTTAGAATGCTCCATATACAATAAAAAACAACACCTATCCTAAGCTGAATCTTTACAGAGTCCCTTTACATTTCATTTGTCATTGACACTGTAAGGCAACGCGAAAGAAATGAGCTGCAAGCTCCTATGCAGGGCCAGCTTGCGTACCATTATGCCTGTTCTATCAAACCTATTGATGACGCTAACGCAGTAGTAACAAAAAATGTTCTGCCTCAAGAGTGAACCGCACATGTGAAACTAGGCAGCTCGTGAGCGCCTGTATGATGTTTCGTTTGTTTGCGATATGTGTTGTTGCAATGACATCATTCAATTATCGTTCTTACATCTTTTTTAATTCAGTATTAAAACAACAATGTGTGGAGAATTCCCTGTGCATTTTCTGCCATGCAAATCATTCAGCTCATTGTTTTCCAGGTGTTACACATTAAGAGTGGACACAGAAATACTAGGTCAGTTTTTTGTGCCACCTCAAAGCTAGTTTTGAATCTGAAAAAAAAAAAATCCAGGAACATTGGTCTATTTAGCATTCAGTGAAAAAGCATGCAAAAGAATAAAACCAAACTGTGATCACTCTGTTTTTTATGCAATTTCAAGATAATTTGTAACACTACATTTATCCAATCATTTAACTGCACTCTACTCCATCAGTTCTGCCTGATATAGTTCTGACGGGCGCTACTTCATGTTGATGCGTTCAGCTGTGATGAAAGTACTTCAAAAAATGTCACAGCTTTGCTGCAAAGGCGAAGCAATGAACGCGATAGTAACAAATTGAAAGGTCACGCACAGAATGTAAAGCAGATCGAAACGTTCCCCATGTTTCCCATGCACAAATGATGCACAAAACGTACTCACAGGTACAGATGCGTGCGAATAAGCGTCTGATTTGTTACTTCGCTGTGTATGAAAAGTGCCCGCTTTACACAAACGGAGACTGCAATGATTGCAGTGACCTTTGTGCACCCAGGAACTACTGAAGAATTGTTCCAGGTAAAGCCCAAGGCCAGCCAAGGCATACGATTCTCCCGTCCTCGCCACTGCGAGATGGCGCACGAACGAGCGTCGCTTCCCTTTTCCAAGCCAGGCAAAGTACGCGAAGGAGAATGAGCGTGTGATGTGGCGAGGCGCGTTCATTGTGCCATCTTTATGGAAATGCTCAAAACACAATTCCCCCCGAGATGCTCGTGAGCAGCGGTAAGTGGTAGATATAAGTAGCTTGCCGTTTGTACTATGAAGGACGTGCTTTGGGGTGACTCAGTGGTTAACGCCTCGCTTTCACGACGCAGAGATCCCACATTAGATTCCGCGCTGAAGTGTATTTTTCCAGATTTTTTTTTTTCTTTCTTGCGTTTTCATATGTATAGATACGTATACATATACGGTGCATGACACCGATGCTGACGCCCACATCCACGTCGACGCTGACGGCAAAATCCAGCCGAGAGTGTCCATATAATTGCTATCGCAATAAAAATTGTTAAAGGGGCCCTTTTTCTTTTCAATTTAAGTTGTAACTATAATGGTATAGTTAAAAACAAGAAATTATGTGCCCTATGCCTTTTATGGCTTAATTGTCTGTTGGTTCTATTGATTGCACCTAACAAAAAAATGAGCACTTCAAACTATTCACGCTCTTTTATACTACCAAGCAGTGTTGTGGAATAGGTGCCTCCATTCCATTCCAATTTCATTCTGGAGAATTAGAATTTGCCCCAATTCCATTCATTTTATTTCCTCGGAATAAAAAAAATTGTCCCATTCCCACTCTCAGATTGGCGGGGCCGTTCAATTCCATTCCTTCAATTTCTCAATGTAGAAAATGCATCTTGATTGTTTTATTGAGTTGAGAATGAACGACACCATATCTATAGAGTCATGAGATACATTAAGAACTGCAAAAGCAATAAAAACACGTCACAAAGGTCGCAGGTTAGTATTTTCATAGCATATTTCCTGCAGTAAAACCACCCTACTAATTCCCATAGGAGTTCTCCCACTAGGCCACATATATTGCCACAGAGATTGCTCCAACAAATCATTTTACGAAGACAACCAACGGAACGCTATGTGGGCATCTACAGTGCCTCGCAACCAACGAGACGCTATGTGGGTGTCTACAGTGCCTCGCAACCAACGAGACGCTGTGTGGGCGTCTACAGTGCCTCACGCGTGCTCATGCATCTTCGCGCAGGGCAGTGCATGCCTCTGGTGCACGAGCACGAGCCAGGAAGACAGACCTAGTTGTTGTTCAGAAAGGGACAGGTAGGCGAATGCTTTTAGCAGACTCTTCTTTGTGTCATAGCTACTTTTCTGGGCACAAGTTCGCCCTCAATAAATCATTGCGTGTGTGTTCCCCCTCTTGTATTATGTGACATTCTGGTGGAGATGCTGGGTATCATTGGAAGTCCCCTTGGTGCAAGAAAAAGAAGCCCTGACCCTCAGCGATTGGAGCCTGGTGAACTTACTCCAGTACACCAGCTTCAAGCCGCCGCCACAGAGATGAGTCACATGAATTCGGACCACTCCTCACTGCCCCAGCAACACAAGCAGCGGTAACCGCCAATCTCAGAGAAATGACCAATCCAGCTTCAACGTTTGAACTCATCGTGTCTCCCCCGTGCCTACCAGAACCCTTACACGGTGACACTCACGAAGATGTGGAAGACTGGCTGGAGCATTTCGAGTGGGTTCGCAAGGACCAATGCCTGGGATGAGGCGAAAAAATTGGGCCGCGTGTACTTTGCGTTGGAGGATGGAGCAAGAAATATGGTTTAAGAACCACGAAAGAGCAATAGCGACGTGGGAAGACTTTCGACAGCATTTGCTTGCTGTGTATGCCAGCACAGATCGCCGGGAAAAGGTACATGTACCTTTTCATGTACCGCCTCTTAAAACGTGCCGATCTGAACATGACCGAAGAAAAGAATGTGAGCCATCTGATGCGTGGAGTTAAGCAGGACTTATTTGCAGGCCTGGTTCGATCTCCTCCACGTACTGTTGCTGAATTTCGGACAGAAGCATGACCATAGAAGAGCACTGCAGCAGCTTGCCCGTCACTACAATTAGAATGCCAGTATTGAGCCCACGGACGTCCTTTTAGCAAAGCGAGACAACAGTAACGAGACACTGAGGGAACTGGTGTGTTCCATCGTAAAAGAGGAGCTTCGAAACATTCTGCAACCGCAAGTCATGCCGACAGTTTCATCCCTCACATCCATCATCCGTGATGAAGTACGACACGCCATTTTTCAGCCGGAACCAGAAGTGCAACATCTTCAACTTCAACTTCAACTTGAGTGTGCATGGCAGCAGCGCACTAGGCACTTCCAGCAAAATGCTAAGCCCCTTCTGCTTTATCGTTCAGGTGTCGGCTGCGTGGATCTACCTACAACCGATGCTGAACATCTGCGTGGATTACAGTGGGAGCGTCAACGTTTCACCGAACACACGTATCTTCACTTTATGTGAAGTCACTCTGTCGAACGCACTAGAATCTGCGCATGCTCCTTGCTGGATAACATCTCATCACGTGGACAAGCCTGCTGCTTTAAGAAGACCAACACCACAAGCAGCGACCAGTGTGCATGGCAGCAGCGCACTAGGCGCTTCCAGCAAAATGCTAAGCCCCTTCTGCTTTATCGTTCAGGTGTCGGCTGCGTGGATCTACCTACAACCGATGCTGAACATCTGCGTGGATTACAGTGGCAGCGTCAACGTTTCACCGAACACACGTATCTTCACTTTATGTGAAGTCACTCTGCCGAACACACTGGAATCTGCGCATGCTCCTTGCTGGATAACATCTCATCACGTGGACAAGCCTGCTGCTATAAGAAGACCAACACCACAAGCAGCGACCAGTGTGCATGGCAGCAGCGCACTAGGCACTTCCAGCAAAATGCTAAGCCCCTTCTGGTTTATCGTTCAGGTCAGTAGATACTTGCCTACCCATTGCTTCAGAAGCGATAACCGCTTTTTGCTGCTGCTGCCATGCC